TTTTTATTAATAGTTTCTTAGACTTTAATAACAACATAAATGCCTGTCTTTCGTAATTATTTTTATTAATTTTTAAAATCAAATAAAACTAAATTTAAAACATTTAATTATAAAAAGAGTAGATGGTATAAGAGTCCTACAATTTTTCCCCATTACATTTATATGATAAAAAAATATAAACCAAATTAATTATTATATATAATAGAGGCACATGCAGAATCATTATGCTGCTGAACCATTCAATAGCAACCATTGACTATTTGACTTTCAATTTCATCCTTAAAAATGAACCAATAAAGCAGTACTTTAAAAATTAACTTGAATACTAAAGGAAACAACTTCTTTTTTTAATCTGTTATTAAAATTACTAACGTGATATATTTAATTTTTGTTAAGTAAATAATTATTTCTTAAAAACAAATTTTAAGAATAAAAAATGAGTTTTTAGATTAATAAGGTTAGAAAATGAGCATAAAGAAAAACTTTAAAAATAGAAATATTATAAACATTTTCATTAAAATAAAACATGTAAAAAGTCATATGATATAATAATTTTTTAAAATAAATTAAAATATCATACAAATGATTGATAAGATTCTTATAAAACGTTCTAACAATGGTAACAAGGAATTTTTTTATTTTTATTGTTATTAAATAAGAACACTCAATACTTCATTATTAAAAAGCTATTTAGTATTTTAATAAAATAAAATAAAAAAACATTTTGGTGACTAAGAGAATATTCGGTGACCAATAGCTACTCATCAACATCTTGTAAGGATGTTAATAGTTATCTTCACCGTAAAACCCGCTGATCCCACCATCATGTGTTTCGTGTGTATTTTCTTTTTGACTTGAAAAATAATTTTAATAAAATAATACTAAGATGATAATTGTTATTTGATAAATACATATTCAATAAAATAATGTTTTATTTTTAAATACATGCGCATATTTTATAAAAAAAATAGTATTTTTATTTAATACAAAATATTTTTTTTATTCACTGATTTAAATACGAAAATCAATCGTTTTATGTTAAAACAATTTATAAAATAAGGATGGAAATGGTAAAAATAATACATGTTATAAAGTTTCCTATCATTTAGGATAAACAGTGATTCAACAACTAATAAAAATATTTTTAAGTTTATATTTAAATTTTCTTATTTTATTGTATGTAATAATAAAGTGATGTGTATTTTGATTTAAAAATTTATTCTAAGAGTGTGATTGAATATATATGATAAAAGTATTTATGATTACATTTAATATAAATTACGAAGTATATATTTCTATAATATAATTTTTAAGTACATATTAATAATACTTTTTATTTGATTAGTGAGGTAGAGATTGATATTTATAACAATTTATAATATTGAAATATGTTTGTGAGTAGAAAATAAATAAATAAACATCTTTTTTCTTTTACGTAATTTGTGTTTTAAAAGCATCATCCAATGGAGGAGAATTAGGAATTGTACACCCAGCAACTGCAAACAAATAGGAAGAAATGAGAGGTTGTGATTCATTGGGATTCATTCTTTGCAGTGTGTTAAACGTTTAATTTTCAAAGTCTTAAATTCAAAATTCTCTTAATTTCAACGGACCACAAATTGTTGGATAGACACAAATATTATCCTGCCAAGTTAAATGTATAAATATCATTTTATAAATTAGTTTTTCAAAATTAAATTAGTTAATGTTCTGAATGAAAGTTAACGGTGAGTTATGTGCACTAATTTGTTTTTTAAAATAAAATTATGATGGTTTAAAATGTAAAATATTTCATACATAAAAATTATCTAAAAATTAAAAATAAAATCTTGTTCTACTTATCCATATAAGAATAATTAAGATGCAGATCGAACATATTCATCTCTTACCTAAAAGAGTTTATTTTATAAATTATTTTTATTTTTGACCTTGTCCTTTGCGGCATAGTGTTGAACAATTTGAAACCAAAAATTACTTTTCTTAATTTTTGTAACGACAATGTAGTCACAAACAAGGCGTGAAAATTGCTTTTCTTACGAATCTTCGCATATCCCAGTCAACCAATATCCATTCATTCACGCCTTCTACCATTGGTTTCCATTATTTTTAAAATAAAACATTAAAAAATTAAGACGTTTCCATGATAATCTTTTAATCTTAGAATATTTACATACATGTAAATAATATAATTAAATATAATTTCATTTTTCTAATCTCATAGTTAAAATATTAACAACTTGATTATTATACAAATTATTGACGCGCTATTGGATTAAAACTAGTAGTAGATACAATTTGTAAACATGCAATTATTTTATCAGTTTTGTTTTGATCTAAAATAAATATATTTTCATCAAAGTGCAAAATAAACTTGTCTTGATTATTTTAATTAAATCAATAATTATAAATTTTATATAATTATAAATTAAAAGTATGTTTAATTATAGAGAAAAAATGTGACAAAAAAAAATGCTGTTAACGTTCTAAATTTATTCTCGTGAAAGGTTTATCATTCGGTTTCTCCTTTTACTTTGAACAAATTCTTTGCATTCTTAGACTTTGGTGGCTATGGGAGGTCCAAGGGCACCACTATGATTCTTTGACAATGACGTGTGCAATTTGGTTTGTCCATTTAAAGACACATTTTTTTTAATAATGTTTTTTTATTTTGCAGAGCATCTTCTTCGGAATGGTCAATGATTTTGGTCCGCACCTTTGGTCCCATCTTTTTCACCTACTGAGTGGGTTCAGACAATCCAAAATTTTGGTTTTTCTCCTATTTTTATATTAAATATTTAATATAATATATTAAATGAAAATTTATAATATTAAAATAAACAAATAAATAATTGTAATATCTAGATGAAAGATTTGTAGAAAAAAAAATTAATTAATAATTTATTTGAGAAATTTATCAATAAATTTGGTCTTTGTTAACAAAAATCTTCATTATTAGTAGTCACTATGGTTGATGAATTCGTCATAGACTTAAAAGTCATGTGGGTCTTGATCTCGAATTGAAGCCCATTTTCCCAGTCTAAAATTTGGGCTTTAGTTGATAAACAATTTACAGCTAACTGAGCCTAGAGTGATTGTGAAGCCCGTTAAAGGATGGGAAACTTAACCGTGGGAAGAGCAATTGCAGTCAGGATCTTGAAACCTTGATCATAAAAAACTTTTCATTAAGTCATTTTCTAGATACTCATTTAACCATTTTTATTGGTTTGTTTAAACTAAAAATAAATTAGAGAAAAATCAGACATAAAAGAGACAAATGCTAAAAATTAAAATGCATCATTTGAATGAATGAAAAATAACAGAGTAAAGAAAAGGTTCTTTAAAAAATATATTATACTAAAATAATTATCTTAGTTTTTTTAATAAAAATGTATTTATTGATTTTATATTAAAATACTATTTTACTTTGAAAAAGTAATAATTAACAAAATCCATGCCTTATGAAAGGAATAGAAGGTGCTACTGTGCAAAAGCATTTAAACTTGATTGGGCCATTAGGCCCAGGTTATCTCAAGCTGAACAGCCCATGAAGTCCATTGGATCAGGTAAAAAACAAAATGTTAACCACTTTTTCCGAATAAGAAAAAAAGAAGAGAAGATGATTATGACTAATGATATTGATTTAATATAAGTAATTATGATATCTAATCATTATTTTATAAAATTATTTGAAAAAAAAAACCCTTACAATTATAAAATTTGAACAAATAAACTGAATTGACCAAATTAAATATAATTTAAGGCAGATACTTCATCAAATGGGCTCTCACACGTCTCTTTCTGGGCCGTATTGTTGTTTCATAGTGGGCTTTTGTGTCTTTTGGTCAAATTATTTATCAATTAGTTATGATGTGGTTCTAAATCTCAATTATCATAGGTAGATATAATATATTTAAGTATATTAAAAAATTTATTAATATATATAATTTTGATCATTTTATCTATCATTTTATTGGATAAAATTTATTTTATGTTTTTTAAATTATATATATATAATACTTATCTTCTAAAAATTACAATTTATTTCAGGCTCTGTTAATAACAATGATAAAGGAGATATGTGTGTAAATAAAATTGTTAACACCATTTTTTATAAAAATTATTTTAGTTAAGTGATTAAAACTATAATAAAAATGTTATATATGTAATTTAGAAATTATAAATGAGCCTTATATATATATATATATATATATATATATATATATATATATATATATCATTTTATCCATAAAAATTATCAAAAATATATTTTAAGATAGGTAAATTAGACTTAAATTTAAATTTTATATTCATATTTTGATGAATTTATTTAGTGTTGTGTTTATTATATTTAAATTGTTATGTCAAAATATTTCATGTACTTCAATTTTTTAAAACAAATACATTTGATTTTTATCTTATTTTTTATTTTTCACTTTTTAGCCAACATATCCTTAAATAACAGTGATGTCAAACAAAATATTTGAATATAAACTAACCATGATGTAGTACAAGAGATGAAAAATGATGAACATAAGAAAAACAGTTAGTATGAAATTAAAAACATAAAATAAAATGACAGGAATAGTAATATAACTTTTGTTACCTATTGGTACTCTCATATATATATATATATATATTTATTTATTTATTTATTTATTTTTTCTCTATCTTGTTAAAAAAAATATCTATTTTTACCCTATCAACCTATCTTCTTATGCGGTTCATTTTTTCATTATTCTCTATTATATTATATTAAATATTAGATGATTTTGATATTAATAGGGTTTTTTTATAAAAATATATATACCTTTTATAATTATCCGTAGGGTAAACTTTACTTCTCTTTTCAATAACTGAACCTTTTAATTTATATAATATTTTTTGTATATATACTTCCATTTATAATAATAATTATTATATTTTTATTTTTTAATCTAAATAATTATACTTCTTACTTTTTCATTATTCTATGGAGATGATGAGTAAGATCACATGTACCACTACTGAACATGCAGAACATAAAAAAAGAAACTAAGACGAAGATGAAGGTAACCGAGTTACCCTGAGTTAATATTGTTGTCATAAATGTAAAAAAATCTGGTAAAAAGGAAGTGAATGAAAGGACAAAACATGAGAAGATGTGTGCACGAAAAAAAGATTCCCTAACTTGGTTTGTCTGAGTAAGACTACTTGATAAGTCTTCTGAGACATCAAGTGTATGCCACCAGCAAGGAAAATTTGAGTGAGGATGTGACAGTGATGTAACTGGACTTTACTATACAAGGAAAGTAAAAGCTGTTTACGGATAAAAACTCTGGTTGGGTTTTTGTATAAGAAAATGTCTTTGGTTTTTTTAAGGAAGGTACCTTCGATGCATCAGAAAACTTTTCATAGAAGAAAACACAACTATTTTTTTTAATTTTAAATTTCATTTAAACCGTTTTAATTATAAAAACTCTTTAGTGTATTTAGATGTATTACATAGGAAAAAAAAATTATGACTGACTTAGAAAACTCATATACTTAAAAAAAAAGTTTATATAAATATCTTTAAAGATTAAAGATACGATTGATTGATATTATCATAATATTTTTTATATCTACTGATAAGAATTTCTCTTCCTTTTGTATTTATATCTATATATATATTCTATTCACAAATTTTATAATTGGACGAGTAAAATCATGATCCAAATTTTTAATCCATTATTATACTCTAGCATCATGTCACAACATTTTCTAATCAATATAGATGATGAAAGGAGTTGAAATTTCACCATGTAAAGACAAAAAACTTCTCTTATTATATTTTGCAAATATATAGGAAGACCTACTTAAAAAAGAAAAAACTCAGCGACCATGTAAACTTCATCTTAAATTATCTTTAAAAAAGTAAGTTCATATCAATAATGAACCATATAATTAAATTAGAATGTACATATGTGCACAAATTCATTGGGATTATGAAATATATATTTTTATGAAACTATTTGCTAGGATTATGAAACCACTGCCCAATAAGAAAATCCTGGCAGTGAGGATAGTGGAAGAGCGATGGAGACAGCTGTGCCGTGTTACAGATAGATAATGTGACGCCATCCAGCTGTTTGATTAGATATAAAGTGTACGATGGTAGCGACTTGTCTTCTTGGATTGAAAAGGCCTCACTTCAACTCCATTATCATCAATGCCTGATCCAGAATCTCCACTCACTCTGTTTTTAGATTTGCATGTCCCAAAATATCCCATTCATTTTCTTATTTAAACACACCCTCCCTTCTTTTCCTCGTACTATCTAAACATGCCTACCCTCCACCCTTCACCTAACTCTCTCAGTCACGTTCTTATGGGTTACTCAAACCCTACCTACCTACCTATGTATTTATTTATTGTTTGATGTATATCAATATGTATTTGCCCTAGCTATCTAGGTAGCTTATCTAGCTCTAACTTTGCTTGTTCAAACAATTTAGATTGGACAAAAGTTGCTTTCTCCACAAGACATGCAATGCTACTGCGTCTAGGTTGCTTTGCTCATGGGTTATTTTATACTTTGACCAATGTTATACTTTGTTCCGTGCTTTATAATTTAGATCTATATAATCCTTCCTCTTCTCTTGTTTTTGACAGGTGGTGTTATATTTCTTATACAACATCTTACTTCAACGATGCATGAGATTTTAGTTAGTTTTTTTTTTTTTTTTTTTATTCTTGTGTTATGAGCTAATGGATTAGGTTGAGTTCAGTTTTGTCTTAGTGGGTGTTGAATTGGTTGAGGATTGACGGAGTTACGAAGGGTGATGGTTAAGGAAGGGGCTCACTTCAGTCCAGTCCGAGCCAGTGGAAGATGGCTGAGACACAGCTGCTGACTCGTTGGTTTGAGAGCTCACCCTTAAGATCAATCAATATATCTGCATGTACAACATTAAGGTGGTGTGCTTCTGATCCAACGATGCGGGAGCTGCATTCAGTCGTGACTGTCACGTCTTGGACTGAAGGGGCCTCTTCATCTCCTATATCCCTCTCTCTCGTTGTTTTTCTGCATAACAACGTGTTTCTTACATTATAAGAATGCTGAGATTATTTGTACAGTATGCAGTTGTTTCTTAAGTCTGCCATTTCTACCATATATATTATTCCTGGGAAGCATATTTTTCAGTATGGTAGTAAATTGGATAACAAAAGTTTAATTAGCTTAAATTTTTCTGGAGAAGATATTTATGATGGATAATCTTTCATCATAATTTCACAATGCGAGTTTGCATTTCATTGGTGAATTTGTAGACTGACTTGTTATACTCATCTTAAATATGTTCAATTGAAGTATTTTAGCTTAACTTGTTTAAGGTTAAACCACACGTCTATCTTCAAATCTTTTCACTTTTTCAGCATTTTTCATCTAGTATTCACTGATGATACTTTTATACGAATTCTCTTATCCTTACATTGAGTTTTTATCATTTTCTTAATATCTATCATGAGATAGGTTCATATGTTCTTTCTGCATCATTTCTCTAGTCTTTTATTTTATCTAGGTGTCATCATTAACATCAGTTCTTTCTGCATGCAAGTTGAAGGAAACTGCAGATCCTGACATGTGATTTGAAAAGTCGAACGTTCAAGATTGGTCTAGTCAACGTCTCATGGACCAGGTAGCAGGAGCTTATTCTGGATCCACATATACAAATTTGGGACCTAAAATACTTTGCATCTGATAATGTGGTTGGGAAAACTTATCCCTTAGTTTTCGAACCAGTTACCTGCAAGATAATTTTTTACAAGATTGGCCTTTTGAAATGTTTGTGCAGTACCACTTTATGCTCATATTAAGAGCATACCAATGAATTATATATGTTATCTGTAATTGTGGTATATTGAAATTCAAGTCATAAACTCTAAGTAAAGAACAAGACAAGTATCATATACATTATACTACTTTGTGTGTTTGATCTTATTCGGCTCTTAATGCGCAAATCTGACACTTTCATCGTTGATTGGGTTCACGATAGTCCTTGCAAGGCATGTGACTAAACTAACCAGTAAAACACGTAGCAAATTGGCATTGGTAATTTTTTTTTTAAATCTTTTCTTGTCATAATATATATATATATATATATATATATATATATATATATACATACATATATATATATATATATATATATATATATATGACAATTGAATTAGACTGTTATTCTCATATATTATCAATATGAATATTATACTTTTGAATTATTAAGTTTAAGGAAAAAATAACTATTAAGATATACATATATCTTTGAGATAGATAATATCAATAGAGGAATGATATCAACTTATGCAAATATTACCTTCAAAATTGAGAAATTGAATTGATAATTTATGTTATTGAATTGACTTGTCCTTTTATATTGTTGAACTTCTCAGGAGTTTAACATGGTTGAGTGCAATCAATATATACTTATTTCTTTAAAAATTTGTTTGAATATGTTATTTATTTAGTTTATTGTGAGTAACTAGTAATATAAAGTATAAATAAATATTTAAGAATTGTTCTGATTTGTATAAGGTTTTAATTAATTATTTTGTTGTATAATTAATGCTGTTTTGAAAATATTAGGTGCAAGATCTGAAAATTTTGGACAAATAAAACATCCCTATTATAATTTAAACAAACTTTTCCGATGACATGGTATGATCTATAATAAAAGATAAAGAAAGTGAACTTACGTATATTTATTGTGTGCAATGGTTTGTCTGAATTTGTACAAGTTATCATTTTTTTAAATAATCTCTTTAACTTCAAAAGAATATAAGTTTTATGACCACTTTGAAAAAAATATTTTTGTATGTTTATGATTTATAATAAAAGAGATAAAAAGAAAACAATATTAAAATTAAAATAAGATTATGATTTATTTTATATTCAATACTTTTTTAGTAATTTATATTTATTTTGAAGTTGGTTGGGTAAAATGTAATAAATAATTAAGTCTCATTTTCTGTATATTATTATAAAGATTTTAATGAAATCTGTTAATTGAAAGGGTACGTAATATTTTAGTTGAGGTATTACATACTGAGTACAAAAAGTTAAAAGGGTAAAAAAAAAAAAAAAAAAACTCTTCAGCACATTGTAAAATATATAATGGAACGGATCACATGAGGTCATTTTTTGTCTCGTGTCATCTCCATAAAATTAGAAAAAAAAAAGCAAAAGAAATTATAAAATATATAATTGGAGGAATCTATAATTTTTATCACGTCACACTTTCATAAATTTTAAAAACAATTCAAAGAATTTATTTTACAAATTCTTTATTTTTCTTTCTTTTGTAAGTTTCTTCTTTTATATGTTTTCATATTCATATTTTGATTTGTTTGGTGTGAAGAATCTTTTCTTTCCCTATTTCTTTTGTTATTCTTTGAATATGTTATGATCACATCGGTATCTATATGAAATATGTTATATGTTACAATTTTTTTTTTGATAAAAAATTTCCTTTTTTTTTAAGGTTTACTATTTTTTGTAAAGTTTACAAATTGATTATACCCAAATCATCAAATTTATGCATATTACAACTTTGCGCCAAAAATGGCGTATGTTTTTTCTTAATTCTTGAAAACTTTATTCAAATAGTAATAGATTCGAATTTAAAATTTGAAAATTGGATTTACCCTCAATATTTTCCTCTTTTTACTTTATGATTATTTAGAGTGGATTTGATATTTTACTTATATATAAATGTTATTTCATCACGGTCCACTTCTCACATTTATTTTTTCTTTCTTATTTTGTTACATTGTTATTATTATTATTGCATATTTCTATTTACTTTATAATAGTTGTCCAAAATTTATAAAAAGATTATTATTATGTTTCAAACATAAGATAATTAGAAGATATTGACAAAAGTCATTCGTTTATGGTTTATTCTAAATTTTATTGAACAAAAATTGCTATTTTTCATAAAATTTGTTATTGAAGATATCAAAGTTCATTCTAAATTTTATTGAACAAAAATTGCTCTCATAAAATTTGTTATTGAAGATATCAAAATTCATTTTAATTATATATATGTTTTCATTAAATAGATTTCATGGATTGATGTTTTTATTATCTTAATATAGTGTAACAAAATTGAGACATCGATTAGAAGGTCTCTAGTTTATAAATTTTAAAATTAAATTTGTAAGGGTAATATTTAATCTATTCAAATTTAAGGGTTATTAAATGTAGTTCTTATAGAATTATTCACCACCTATACAAAATTAATTTGTAAATTAGAAACAAAGTGTCTTACCCTATTATAAGCTTATATTAATAGTTATGAACATATTTTTTTTATTGCATATGAATTTGACACAAATTACTTAGTTAATAAGTGGATATGAATTAGTTTTATTTATTATTTATTACCATTTACTATTTAGTTTAATATTATTCATGTTAATTGATAACAACACTAAAATTGCAATATTATTTTAGAATAAGCTGGCATGATAATACTAACAGGTACTAGTATTGTGAGTTATAAAAAATGGAACAAAATAAGTTTTAACCTCATATGTTTAGAGGTTGATGGTATACTTTCACTTGAATTATATATGTTTAAGTATTTACTCTCTTATAAATAATTTTTAACTATCTTATATTTTTTCATATCAATTTTAGAATATAATGTACATTGTTTTGATAATATATTGATAAACTAAACGTTTTACTTATTTATAAAAATGTTGGAAATTTTATCACAGTCATAAGATGAATTTTTTTAAGATAATTTTTTTTTTATATTTTACCATATAATATATAACATTCCTATTATAATCATTATAATATTAATATGGATACAATTGTTTATAAAAAAATATTATAAGTGTTATTATTAAAATTTAAGTTGATTAACATCATGTAAGTAAATTTAACAAAATTTGACTTTTGTTTTACCATATTTAGTTTCATAATGAAATGAAATGTACTTTATTTAAAAATAGTCTAAATGTATTAATGTTGTCCAGATGGTTTGTTACAGGACATCGAAGATGATGATCATTGACTGTAAAAATAATAAATATATATTTTTTTTAAATGTAATAAGCACGTGATAAAAGTCATGTATTAGTACTTTGAATTTTTGGTAAACAATAAAAATTTAATAATTCTTATATAGATATCTTATATAAAATTTGTACGATATTTATTACCCAAATAACATTCAAATGAGAAACTCTAATTTTTATGAATTTATTATTTTCAGAACTTATTAACAAAGTTCTTAAAATACTTTTGGATCTGAACCATTAATTTAAGAATTGACATTATCTTGAGTAATGATATGATATAAAAAATTGTATTCCTAAACGATGCATGGAGTAAAACGTTTTACAATTTTTTGAATAGAAACTTTAAGTTTCTTTTATCTGATTAGTATTTTTAGTTAATAACAAAATAAAAATGTTTTATTATAAATAAATTAAAATGAATATTTTTCATTTATACTCTAGTAATAAAATAAACAAATTCACATGATTTTTTTTAAAATTATGTTACTTAAAAAATAAATTATCCTCTGTTTTAATTATTGTTATAGTAGTATTAATAACAAGTTTTTTTTCTTTTAATTATCTTTTGAATATATTGAACCAAATTTTAAATTTCTCTTCAACTAATAAATTATTTGTATTAAATAAATAAATAAATAAAAATCTTATTTTTTACCTAAAATTTAAAATCCAATAAATCTTTAATAATTTAATGTTATTTTTATACTATAATGTAAAAACTATATATACAAATTTTTTTGGACACAGTTATACGTAAAATATAACATTTCTATAATATTATAATCTAAAATAAATAAATAAAATATACATGATTATATTTTTTAATTTTGTACTAACGGGATAAATTTTCATATTATTTTGTCTCATAAAAAGTAACTTTTTTTAATTAGTATATATTTAATTTCATAATAAAATTAAACGTTGTTAAGATTTAATGAGTATTTAAAATTATTAACATATGTGTATATATCTATATATGATTAAAGAAATGTTTTATTAAATGAATATGATAATTTATTTTTATATCATAAAATAATAAATGTTAGTTTAATATTTTATCTACTAAAAATTTAAGTTTATATTACCTAATTAATATATATTTAATTACATAAAAAATAACAAATCATATAAAACAAAAGATGTAAAATAAATAAAATACGTAAACTTCAAGAATGTTTTGCATCAAATAAAATATAATATTTTTTACTTAACCAATATATATCTTTTAAGCCTTTTCTTTCTAATTTAACTAATTAAATTATTTTTAATTTTTCTTTAATATAAATATAAAAAATATAACCAATAAATAATTTAATGACAGTATAAAAAAATAAAATTAAACTCATATACAAAATAAATAAAATATATCACGTTAGGTTGATTAATATTTTTGTAAAATCAAATAGAAAAAATTGTTATTGAATTTTAATTTTTTTACCACTTGACCACTTGATAAAAAAAATATAATTTTACATCAAATTAGTATAAAATCAATAAAAATTGATACAAGTTAAATAATTTTTTTTTGTTAATGGGGACGAACATTTTTACTGTCGTATATTGTTTGATAAAAAAATTTATTTTATTTTATTTAATTAGTATGAATTTTAATATAAAATAACAACTAAATCATTTTCATAAAATGAGTGTCTACAGGCAGTAAAATATATATTATAACAATAAATATTTTATTTAGTAATAAATATATTTAAAAAGGATTTTTTTATCTAATTAATATTTTTTTAAAATTAGGTAACGAATATAAAATATATGCGAATGGACAATTAATCTTAAATCTAATTAATAGTTTAAATTTATGATAAAGTTATATATTTTTTATAATCAAATTCTATTTGAATATAATTTTGTTTTAATAATCAAGTGTGAATTTAAACTTATTAAATACGATGAAAAAACAAATAAATATTTTTTTATGAAAACA